GGGACGTCCTGACCCTCCTCGTGCTGGCGGCGGAGGCGCTTGACGTACCACGCGTTCCAGTATCCGAGGCCCGCGAGTGTGAGCACGATCAACGTCGGCGATATGTAGGCCATCGCGTGGAGCGGGAGGAGGTAGATGAGCACGAGGCGCACAAGCGCCTCCAAGACGAGGCCCGCGCCCCAGACGTAGCACATGAGGTTCGTCGACGTGCGCACGGTAGCATTGGCATACATCGCATCGAGGTGCGAGGTAGCGTCGGGGCCGGCCATTTGCCGGTAGTAGCGCCAGATGAGGTTCTCCTTGCCGCAAACCACCGAGATGAGAAAGGCGACGCCAAACACAAAGGTCAAGAACGAGTCTTTGACGAGGAGGAGCTTGGCGTTGGACGTGATGGCCGCGAGCGCTGCGGAAAGCGCGATCGAGACGACAACAAGACACGAGATCGGGTCGAGCGACCGCTGTTGCACCATAACAACAACGCTGTTGACCGCCGGCGGAATCGCCGAGAGAAGCAACGCGAGCACGTCCGACGTGTACGACGACGCAATGCTGTAGATGACCACGGGCGCGGCAAAGTCGACGAGCACCATGCGCAGAATGTGCCAGCGCACGTGCGAGCGGTTCACGGCTGCGTCGGCCATCGTGTTCGAATTGGAAAATGACATAACTTTGATCCGCGGAACTTTTCCAGAGTTTTCGATTACGACCAGCACCAAGTCGTCATCGGCGCTACTATGGCCAATCACACGACACGGCGCCATGCTGATCCTCCGCATTTGGCTCCAACCTTGCCGCCGACCACAACCCACGCAAGCTTCTGGGTCGACATACCGGTACGTTACAGTCACTCCTTTGCGTTGATGGAGAGAGTGTGGGATGCAGCCCGGCCTGGGATGCAGCCATCTCGTGGAGCTTCCAGGGGACCAAGTTTTGGAACGCAGCTGTATCGTTAGACTTTTTGGGAGACGGTATTCAGCGTATGTTTGCTGCCGCCGCCTTGGCCTAGCACAACTCGGCGTATTTTGCTGACTAACTAATTTTGAGATGGACCTTCTTCTGTGGTAACAGCATCCCGCCAAAAGCCGACGATGACGAGTCATATTCGTGATAAGGATAAAGGTATTATGACTTTGCTGGAGGACAAGAGAGAGACCAAAGGACACGTCATTCCTTTCCATTATTCGATTACGAATCAACGCAAAGGAAGAACGCCAAGAACCAATGTTTGCACCACGAGATACACACCGTTTAGATGATGCCAATGCGGTTGGCGACATCGAGGGCATCGTAGTCGGCGGTGAGGCGCACGTACGCCTTCTTCTGGCCATCCGGGCTACGCAAAACGAGGATAAGCCACATGAACAATCGAAGCAGCACAGAAATATGCAGGAGACGGAGGGCCATGATGCGCCATGCATGTAGGTCGATCAACCGGCATGGCGCGGCCACAAAGGTGTCTCGCTCAGAATATCGACGCGATGGCTTTACCGGATGAGGGTGTTGATCTTCAACGCCTTGATGTCGTACATCTGCTTGACGGCGTCCTTGATCTGGCGCTTGTTGGCGAGCTTGTCGACGAGGAAGACGAGCGTGTTGTTGTCTTCGATCTTCTTCATGGCGCTCTCCGTCGTCAAGGGGGACTTGATGATGCGGTACTTGTCCATCTTGTTGCGGCGGGGGACGGCATGGCGAGCGACCTTGGGGGCACGGGCCAAAGCGAGCGTCTTGGGCTTGTAGAAGTGGGTCTTCGTGCGGATCTCGACGACCTTGCCGTGCTTGCCCTTCAACACGCGGCGAGCGGTGTTGACGGCCTTCTTGGCAGCGGTGGTCTTGGCGGCGATCTTCTTGGCAGGGGCCATCTTTGGTTCTTGTCCTTGAATGAAAAGTGATTTCACGCGCTTGGCCATCGAAAAACCATTGGTTCTCCTCGGTCCTGTCCGGATACTAGACGTCCGGATGAAATCATCTCGATATTTGTATCGACCACTCGTAGTTCGAAGTGAGGGCGGACACGAAATGCTGCGATGCCATTGGGGCCACGATCTTCGCTTCTGAACGACTAATTGCTTCGAGTGTGAGCAAGCGCGACAGCGTTGAGGCGCTAGTACCGATAGTGGCGTCGTAGCCATGTTCGTGAGGGCTTCGATGAATATACACTCCACGATGAACTAAAACACTTTTTCATTCTACTGAAAACTTATCGCAGCTCGACTTCCTCCCATCTGTGCCAAACGCCACCTCGAAATGCTCTGAGAAACCAGCAAAAGCCAGAGCGAAAGCTGTGGCCATCCGCGGAGGTCCTCACGTCGTATCAACTTTGACAAGATTGGTGTACCGACTGCGCCAAGTCCAGCAATCTGCGAGCTTTGGGAATCAATGGCAACGCAGCGCTGCCGTCGCAGATGTTGGGTCACGCCATGCGAAATGATTGCCTCTCGAGTCACGGAATCAAGGCGATGGTGAGCACGCGCTGCTGCTGCGCACCAGCACCGCCGTCCACCGCGCGCGGTGCTGCATGACGACTCGTTAAAGACATGGTCGATCTTCGCATCGCTTCGTCACGCATGACCGCTGTGTCAACAGAGACTTGCTGCACCGAGAGAACATCGAGCGTATCTTGGTTCAACTTCGATCCAACCGAAGCAAAAGATCGTCACGCGACGTCTGGCTCGTGCGGGTGGCTCGCAACGCGCTAGAGTTCGCGGGGCGACCGTCGATCCGCTTCACTTCGCTGAGTTTCGTTAATCATGAGAGCGGTGCGCAAAGGCGACGCGCGACTGTCCCAGAGGTCCACGGTGCCGACGCCATGGCCGACCACGACGACCGGCCACGCACTCCAATTGGATGCGACCACGCCGCCAGCTGGCAGGACGACTTCGACTTGCTTCATGTAACCGGTTGGTTTCCGCCCCGAGACATACAAACAAGAAGTGTACGAGTCGGCTCGCCACAGTCGGCGCCAACTTCGGCCAGGCCTCAGCCGTGGCAGAATGGTACGCCGAGCATGGCCAGTCACCGATTTGCACGCTTCCAGTGCGATCGCGGCGTGTAGATTCGTTTGACCATTGTTGCATACTTCCTATTTATAACACCACTGCATTCATGGACCTGAGTTGCCGCGAGGACCTTGTGGGCGCGGACAAGGCGTCGTCGTCCGTGCTGGTTGTGGCGGACGATGGTACGACGAGCGCCGACGAGCTCCAGTGCCTCCGCGCGCGCGAGCGCACGACCGCGCCCAGCGCCATGTACTTGCTCCTCGTGCAAGCCCAAGGCGTCGTCGAGGCGTCGCGCGACCACATCTGCTGCTGGATCGCCGAGGTATTAGTTGACTGCGACGCATGCCGCACGCACTCATATTCTGACGCCGCAGGTGGCCCTCGAGTTTCACTTTTCGCGCATCACGACCGCGGTCGCCATCAACTACCTCGACCGGTACCTCTCGCAGCACGCGTCGACGCCGCACCGGCTCCAGCTCGTGGGCCTCGTCGCGATCCTCATCGCGTCCAAATTTCATGAGAAGGACGGCATCTCGATGGACGAAGCCAAGGAGATTGCGGCCAACGTCTTTACCGTCGAAGACATTACGCGCATGGAGGCCAATATGCTGTCGGCGCTCCAGTGGAAGCTGCATGCGGTAGTGCCGGCCATGTACATCGACACGTTTCTGCAGGACCTCCAGCAAACGCGGCTGATGGCGCCGACCTGCGCTGATATGACGGCCGTCCACCACACTGCGTACATCCAGCTCGGCTTTTTGCCGTCCACTGTGGCGATCGCGATCAGCCACCTCGCGTACGACGTGCACGGGCTCTCGAAGGCGCCTTTGGATGCGTACTTGAAGCGCATGGACATGGATCCTGAGAGCAACGACGTCGCCGACTGCCAGCGCCAACTGCGCATGCTGCTTCCCGCGCACTTATGGAAAACGAAAAAGCGGGACCGGTCGCCGAGCCCGTCCGGCGTCGACGACGTCTTTCATTGCATCGAGCCCGACGACGAGGACGAAGAGTGTGTCGTACCAGAGGCAAAGCGGGCAAAGACCAGCTAGCGTTGCGTAGCCGACGACGTGCGATGTACTACCATGAACCTTAAAACCTTAACTTACTGAGACCTTGTCCAATGTGACGCCGTACAGCGCTGAGTTGCGAGACTTGTTGGTTCACACGCTGGACTGCGGGATAAACTTTAGCGTTGAGCCTCGAGCCGAAGCGCGCAAGCTCAACGACAGAGCGCAAGCTTAATGATAGAGCGCAAGCTTAACGAAAGAAGGTCTCTGGGAGAGCCGATTGGATAGAGTCGTGGCAATGGTGGCGATCTTGATGCAATCCAAATTTACGCTGAAACCTTCAACGGCATCCGGATGAATCATCCGGAAGAGCCAGGATATTCGAAACCCATATTTCGTGCAGCAAGATGAGCAGCAACATGAACGTGTCGGACGCGCTGCCCGAGCTCCTCGACGTGGTCGACGTCCGCATCCGGCCAGCCGTTGGCAGCTCGTCTCTTTCCTCGAGCGTGAGCGCAGGACCCGCGAGCGCGCTGCAGTCGGACGCAATGACCCTCGACATGAACCGCATGGCGATTGCCGTCGACCTGCAAGAATGCTGCCTGCCGCCAGGATGGCGGGCGCGCTACTCACCGCACCATCGAAAGGTCTGCTACTTCCACGAGTCGGGTATGCAGCAATGGACTCATCCCAGTGCGCCGTAAACGAATCGGCAACGCCCACCTCTTCCACAGCACGTGCTCGGATGGAAGATTCACTCGACCGCCGCCATGCGCTCTTGATCGACGACTGCGCCGTGTAGCCTCTCATGACGTGTCCAAGCCGCCCGTCTCGAGCACTCACTTCATGTATACCGTTGCGTCCAATACGAGTTTGCACTTTGAGTTTGCACTTTGACGATGCATGCCTGTCTGCCTCTTGTGAGGTCGCACAGTGACAACCCGTGACATCGCAGCTTTCGCCCTGCCCATACTAAAGCAAACTCGCAAACCAGCGGGAGAGAAGATCACAAAGCACGGGGTACCTTCATGGCCGGCGCGTCGAGTCGCAATTCTTGTCGTATCATACACTACGACCGGCCGTGCAAGTGTACTAGTTCACTACATGTACTGTTGTCGTCGCCCGAAACTTTGTGCAGCACCTGCACCTTCCTGAAGGGCACATTCGTCCAGGTCTCACGTGCACGTTGCCACACATACGTCTGCACGTACGTCGCCAATGTAGCTCGTCATTCCAGCGCAAGAGTATTCGAACGTTGACAAATGCACGGAGATACCCCACGAATCTCGATTCATTTTTCTCTAGCCCGCGGTGACGATGCTCTTAACTCGATAATCCGTATCGCAGTTTTGTAAATCGATGGTGGGAAGCGGTATCATGCCCAAGTCAATGCCCGCTAAGTGGTCTACGTCACGCCTGTGTTGATGCAACAGGCACCAAATTTCATTGCCTCGAGCAACAACTCTCTGGCCAGTGATCGTCATGATTGGCATTCCTCGTGCCAAAGAAGACTGGGCAGCCGCAATGGCGAGGCCTCGTTGACATCAGTTGCACCGCAAGGCGGACTGACTGGCTTGTGCTGCGTCGTCCTTTTGACCCTTTGTTGTGTCGTCACCCACAACCCCCTCGGTACCCGAGGTACTGTAGGGTGTCGCTTCAGGTCGCCAGCACATCAACCTCTGCATGCGAAGGATACTGTAGCAGTATGTACCTTGCACATCGAAGATACGACGGCGCACAAAAACACACGTGCCACGTGTAATATTTGTCCAACGCTCGACGACGACAGCGCCGACTGATTTCAGGCCATGTCCGTGTTGACGCCTGCAGCTCAATATTCGTCGGTTCCAGCTGGTGTGAACAGGTCGACCTTAATCACACCAATCAGCTGTGGAATTGGCCGATAGAGCGCGCCAAGTGGCTATAATAGAGTGCTTTTCTTCCAATCGTGTCACGGTTTAACCCACCGTGAGTTCTGTCTGCCCTCATTTGTTGGATTGACGGGATCTGGCCACTCTGCGACCGACGTAGCGGCCTCGTCCAGCTCTGCGCCTTCGCCACTCTCGCGCCGAATATGATTCGATCCAGCCTCGGCAGCGCTAGCGCGTCTGCAGACGGCAGCCATGCCTACCGTGCTAGCGCACTTCGAGCACTCGACAACTCGTCGTCTGACAGCAGCTCCTCGGCCAGCACGGATGGCAGCATCAACTTCCCGCCCGACGACGACGGCTCTTCCAGCAATGACTACTTTGACTACGACGTTAGCAGTCCGGACGAGACGGCGCTGTACCAAGGCGTGACCATCGGCGCCGGCTCGCTCGTGCTCGTGGTTCTGGCTGGTTGTTTCTGGTGGATCTTGCGAAGACGACGACTGCGTCGAAAAGCCTCGATGAGGGCCGCGACAACACCTTTATGAGGCTCGAATGCAACAACCACGAGTCCTTCGCTCCTTCCTGCGATGCCTCCCATGCATGGCGACATCAACCTCTCATTAGTTAGCGTAAATATCTATGTAATGAAGCTCCGAACCGCCGGGGTCTTCTGTCTTGCGTCCACATCGGTCTCGTCTATGCGCTTGGTGCAGCAGCGTTGTCAAGCCCAGTCGACGCCAAGGCACCACAGGAAGCGCGGTAGCGGAATGCATGCTATCTGGTTGACTAAAATGACCACTCCTAAGAAACTGCACGGCGTTCCAGCGCATGACGTTGTCTCACGCCTCAGGAATTTCTATCTGTGATAATGGTTTGCATCCGCTTAGCCCAACGAACATACTTGATTGCGCGAGCTTGTACAAGCCGCGCGATGCCCAGCATGAGGCCATAGCAATAGTTGGGTGTTGTGAGACATAGCCTGCTCTGGGAACGCATCCAATATTCGTTTTCAAGGGATATTGACCGCTCATGCTGGCCCTGGCGATGTCGGTCCTAAGCCGCGTGCTCTGGGTCAACTCGCCCTTCCAGCTTCTACTGGACAATGGAGCGCTCTTCATGCTCGAGGTCGTCTCGTACGCTTGCGCCATCTTCATGGTCCTCCATGCGCTTGGCTCGCCCCGACGCTCCAGGATCGTGCTCGGGACCATCTTTGTCTACCACGTCGTGCTCCTGGGCCTCGGGCGCGTCGATGCTGATGTGACCATCACGTGGTACGCGCAAGGCATGGTAGGCATCACCCTCGGCGATTCCTGCGAATGCTACCATGCGCGTCTAGATCATGCTGGGCGGAGGCCACTTGCCTCTGTACCTTGTCGTGCTCCATACGCTCTTCTACTACGTGTACGTCTTGATCGCGATATGGAAGCACGTCGCCTAAGTCTGGCAATGTAGGGCCTACATTACGACCCAGCGACTTCATCTCCAAGACTATGCGAGCGCCTGCGTCTTTGTCGTCATCGTCGTGGGCCTCAATTTTCCCCTCGAGCTCATGGGGCCAAAGTTCATCCTCTGGACCTTCCACGACACGGAGCCGACACTCAAAGAGCGCTTCCTCTCGATCCCGATCGCTATCCTGCTCGCCCACATTGCGTCCGCTCTTTCGTTCTACTCGACGCTTTGGGGCGCCATCTCGTACCGACCATCGTCATTCCTACAGCATGATGATGTGTCTGCGTCGGTAGGCTGGGGCTCAAAGGCCACTTGTACCACGACGAGCAAGCCGTGGCCGAGCACATCTACCCGATCGCGTCGATCTTGGTGTCGATTCCACTCTCGGTGTTTTACTTCGCCATGCTCTTCCACCTCGTCTGTGACCTGCTCTTGATCCAGCCGCAGGTACGTACTACAACTAGGCTTGGCCTGCTCGCTGCATCCATGATGCGTGTTGTAGATCTTGCTGCTCGCGCTCGTCGCCCTCAGCGTCGCCATCATTTGGACGTGCGACCGCCTCGGCGGTACTGCAACGCATCGTTTGTTGGGTGCAAAATGCGAGATTTTCGTAGGCGACTTGGGGCCGCCCCAGATCCCGCCGTGGGTCTATGACGGCGAGTGGACAAGCGCGTGGTACGACCACGCGCTTGTGCAGGCTGTGTTTCTCTACACGGGGATCCTCGCCCTCCTGACGCTCGTGATCAACCCGACGCGCCTCACGTCCTTGAGCTTCCACCAGCGCCTTGGCGACTGCTCGATCGACACGAATTACATGACGCTCTTGGCGACAACGCTGACGCGCGCCATGTACCTCTGCTCGAAAGCCTACGACGAAGAGTTTACGTTGTGCAACGTGCCGTCGTCGCAGGTGAGGCTGCTCCTCGCAGGACGCCTCTCATCGTCGTGTGTAGCTCCACACGTACGAGCCATGGTACGCGATCTGCGGCCGCAAGTACGAGCACAAGGCGTTCCCCAACTACCTCGTATGCATGCTTGTGGCCACCACCGCCATTGTCTTGGGCTTGCGCGCTGCATATAGCGTTCTGCGCCCGACCTATGTGCAGCGCTTCGTCGGCCCCAAGGCGTCGTAGCTTTGTGTAATAGAGAATGCGTCGACGAGCATGCTGTCAGAGAGGCGGGAGGAAGGGATCATCGAGACAGGGGTGGTTTAATTTTATCATCTAGCAGCGCCATTTACAAAGCGCGGGACGTCGTGCGCTTGACGGCGGCAATGATGTCGTGGGCGTGGGGCACAGCGATGCGCTCGAGGTTCTCGGCGTACGGCATCGGGATGTCGGCGCCCGTCACGCGCTCCATGGGCGCGTCCAAATAATCAAAGGCCTCGGTTTCCATGAGGATGCCGGCGATCTCCGCGCCAATGCCGTGCTGGCCCCAGCCTTCTTCGACCGAGACGATGCGCGACGTCTTCTTGACCGACTCGATGATCGTGTCGCGGTCAAGCGGGCGGATCGAGCGGAGGTTGATGACTTCGACATCAATGCCTTCCTTGGCCAACTCGGCGGCGGCCTCGATCGCGACGGCGACCATGCGCGAGAACGTGACGATCGTCACGTCCTTGCCGGCCTTCATGATCTTGGCCTTGCCAAACGGGATGACAAAGTCCTTGTCCTGGGCCTCCTTGCTCACAGGGAACGACACACCGTAGAGGAGTTCGTTTTCCAAGACGACGACCGGGTTCGGGTCACGGATGGCCGCCTTGAGGAGACCACGGGCATCCTCGGCATCGTACGGCACGACGACCTTGAGGCCGGGCACCGAGCCGTACCAGGCGGCAAAGCACTGCGAGTGCTGGGCGGCGACACCGGCGGCGACACCGTTCGAGCCACGGAAGACGATCGGGACGTTGATGTCACCGTTGGACATGTAGAACTGCTTGGCGGCCGAGTTGATGATCTGATCGATGGCCTGCATTGCAAAGTTGAACGTCATGAACTCGACGATGGGCTTGGTGCCATGGTACGCGGCGCCAACGCAGAGACCGGTGAAGCCCATTTCCGTGATGGGCGTGTCCCAGATGCGCTTCTCGCCGTACTTGTCGTAGAGGCCCTTGGAGACCTTGTACGCGCCGTTGTACTTGGCGACCTCTTCGCCCATGAGGAAGACGCTCTCGTCGCGGGCGAGCTCCTCGTCCATCGCCGTGTTCAAGGCGTCACGGACCGTCATGTTGTCGGAGACGGTCGCCATGAAGCGGGCGCGGACCGGGCCGGCGCGGACCGAGCGAGCAAGACGGGACAGCATCGTGATGATTGGTCGCAAGCAATTCAATGTATGATCCAGCGTCCCGAGTTGACTGCCCAAATCACCACACAAACTTTATCTTGCGAAATTTAATTCGATTTTGATGCGCGTTTTTCCGCCTTCACATAGAGCGACGTCGTCTTTTTTTACAGCCGCCGCATGATTTTTATTCCGCTTTCGATCGACGGGTTTCTACACCGGCGCCGCAAAGCAATAAATTAAGCACCGGCCAGAACGCAAATAGTGTATGGGACGCCGACAGTATTTCTTGCCGAAGGCCAATGAACCAAAATCGACGGTACCCTTCCTTGTACTCACCGTACGTCAGTGCAGCCCGGGCCTACGTCCTGTTGTCGAACAAAACGATCGTATTGTGCCTACGTTTCTGCCGTCGATTTGAATTCGAGGGATGAGACGTGGCCACTTCGAGGACGTCGGGCTGGAATGCAGATTAACACTATTTACTTGGAATGGACGCGCAATGTCTTTTTAAACGAAGTGGGACGTACATTATTTGCGTGAAAAGCCCCTTCGGGGTTTAAAAATACACTGTTTCATATTGAATTTGTATGCGAGATTGTGTATTTTATTCCACTGGATTTCTGCTGTCGGGAACCGACGTCCCCAGCTGTTTCGAGTGAAGTCATCACCGCCGAGGGGATATGACGCAAACGCCCGGCCCGACGCTCCGCGGGGCGGCGCCGGCCATGGCCGCCGATGCAGACACCGGCATGAACCTCGACCATGCCAATTTTGACGAGGCCAAGACGAAGCGCTACGTGAAGGAGGTGCCCATCGCGGTCTATGCGGCCCTGGCGGCCGAGGCGACTGCCAGTGTGCTCCTCACAGCCACGTTCAATACCTTCCACGTCGAGACGTTCTTGACCGAGTACAAGCTCGACCTCGCCTCGTACGCGTCTGGCCACGTGCTCTACGCCGTCATCAACACGCTCAACGACCTTGTTGGCGCCTACATTGTCGATGCATGGGCTGTGACAAAGGTAGACAAATCGGCTCCGGCTACGCTCGATGCTGGGCGTAGGGCCGTGCATGGCTCATGCTCTGCGGTGGGTGCGCCTGGTCGATCATGTTTCTCTTGCCGTGGTTCCCATGGCGCGCGTACCCTGCGCTACACTTTGTCGTCAGCCTCTCGTGCTACGACACACTCTACTCGTTCTGCGCGATTGCGGGCGGGTCGCTCTTGACCGAAATGCATGTATCGGACCGCCAGCGCATCCAGGTACGCACCTTCCACATGGCGTCCATGGCTTCATGGTTGCGACCGCAGATTCTTCGAGTCAAGACGATCGTCGGGATGGCGTCGGCCTTTGTCGTGATGCAACTCGGACAGTACTACTTTGCCGACAAGACGGCGTTTCGCGCCTACTGCGTGGCTCTCGCGCTCCTCGCGGCGGCTCTCTACGGCATCTTTTACAGCTTGTTGCAGACACGGTCGGCGGCGTATCTCGTCGCGCTGCCGCGTGCGTCGACACCATCATCGTTGTCGTCATCGTCATCGGCATTGAGCATCGCTTCGATCAAAGCGCTTCTTGAGGACTTCTACCATCTCCACAACTTTCGATACTGGCTCGGCATGGAAATGTGCCTGGAAACGCAGTGCAACTTCAACAAGCACTACTTGCGTATCTTCCTCGTGCACTTTGCCGCGGGTCTCTGGTCCCCGGCGACGATTGCATCGGTGATTGCCAGTCTCCCGCTCCTCAAGCAGCTCGTCAAGCTTCTTGTCTTCTCGGTCATGGACCGCATCGGCGTCTACCGGCTCTACCACGACTCGTTTGTGACCAAGCTGGTCGCCGTGGTTGGGACCCTGTACGCGGTCCACACGTTCCCGCACCCGAGCGTGGTCTTGGTCGCATTTCTTTTGCTCAACATGGTCGTGACCGAGCTCCCCACGGGCGGGTTCCCCATTGCCATGAGCAACATGCACAAGGAGCTGAGTCTCCGGCGCCAAGAGACGGGCCGCGGCGTCGTTGCGTCTTCGTCAGCTATGTTTATGGGCCTGAACGCAGTCTTTTGCAAGCCCATGGACTCGCTGCTGCCTATTCTGGCCGCGATGCAGCTCGACGCCGCAGGTTTTCAAGCCAACGAGAACTCGCCGGCCGTGTCGGTTGCCATGACGCGCCTCCTGGTGTACCCGCCGCTGATCTTGTCGCTACTGCAGCTCTGGAGCTGGCGGCGCTATACGCTGGATGCGACGCACGTCGCTTCCATCGAGCAAGCGCTGTGCACGCCAAGCAGCAGCCCCCAGAACATCAAGCACGTGGTCTAACCCACGAGCCCAGTTTTGTGTTAGAGTTAAACGGCAAGTTGAACAACGTCGGCGAAGAATGTTCCTGCGCGTCGTGCCACGCAGTAGCCACGTACTGTACATTTCGTGCATCCCAGTCGAGCGAGACGGTACATACGTATGAGTAGTACCATGAGCTGCCACCGTGCGTCTTTGCTCATCTAAATACGACAATGTATTCCACTCGCAGGACGCACTGAGCTTGTCGGCGAGCTGGACCACAAGGACCGTGGATTTGGTTTGTGCCCCGGGGTCTCGCAAAAGAAAAGGCTGTTCTCTTCGAACTTCGCAGTGGAAAAGAGGCGGCGCTGGAACGCGCGTCGACAGTTCCCTCTGCCGCACTTTCTACGAACTTCGGTTTCGCGCGTCGTTGATTGGTGCCGAGCCGACTGCGCAGCGCACGCCATCGACTCGGCACATCGAATTCGATCGAATTCTGCGCCGAAGGTCGAATGCTGCAGCATGTGCCGGTCTTCCTCCAGAAGACGTACGACATGATCCAGAACTGCCCCGAGTTCATTGCGACGTGGTCGACGTCCGGCGAGACCTTCATCATCAAGCGCATCAACGAGTTCGCGGCCGAGATCCTCCCGCGCTACTTTAAGCACAACAACTTTTCGAGCTTTGCGCGCCAGCTCAACTTCTATGGCTTCCACAAGGTCAAGAAAGAGGACATCCTTCTCCGGACGCGCACGCCCAACGCGCCGGACGCCGCGCTCGAAGCCCAGGGCTGGTGGGAGTTCTCGCACCCGCTCTTTGTTCGCGACGAACCCGAGAAGATGGCCAGCATCCGCCGCAAGACGTACGCGGACTCGGCGCACGTGCATCATAACAATGCCTCGTCGTCCGCGTCCGACAACAAGTCGGAGCTTGAGGAGCTCAAGGGCTTTGTGAGCGAACTCGTCGACGACATGAAGGGCGAGCTCGCGTCGCTGAAGAGCCAAGTGAGCATGCTTGCGCATCACATGTCCTCGATCGGCTCGCTCATGCAGATGATCGTGCAGCAGCACCAACAGCAGTCGTCGATGACAATGCCGCACCATTTGCCCGCGCCCATGCACATGCCGACGAACGACGACTATGGCCACCAGCCGCTCAAGCGCCGCAAGATGGAGCACGCGACCTCTACGTCGTCGTCGTCACCACCGACTGCGTCGCCGGCCATCCTGCTGCCACCGCTCAACTCGATCCGGCACCACATCAAGGCGGACGAGCCGCCCACGCAGAACCATCACTTGGACGAATCCGAGGCGACGGCGGCCTATTTGCTGTATCACGCGCGCCGGAACGACCCGCCACCGATGCAGTGAGGCGGCCCTTAATTTTAACCAACTTTTGTACACTGCTGCGGGCACGACGAGCGCCCGAGCAATCGTCCAGTGCCCTGGATTGCTCGAAAACGGCAAAGTCGCTGGGAAAGGTCGCAGTATAAGATCGCGTTTCGATGAGCTCCAACACGCCGAGCGAAGAGCTCCGCGACGCCATTTGCGATACGCGCGGCGGCGACCTGGACGCGCTGCTTGCGCAAGGCGCCGACGCCAACTACGTGGACGAGGAAAGCGGGTGGGCGCTTTTGTTGTGGGCCGTCAAGACCAATCAGCCAGCGGCCGTGGCCACCTTGTTGGCCCACGGCGCTAACGTCAACGCCGCTGGTGCGTACACTTTGAGCCAACACGCTGCATGTAGAAGCCTATGCTTGCTACTAGATCCGAGTGGCAATACGGCACTGCATAAAGCAGCGTATTTGGGCCACGCCGAGTGCGCGACGCTGCTCTTGGCGCGCGGCGCCAACGCTGATCTCCACAACAAGATGCAGCAGACCGCGCGGGACCTCGCGCTTCTCTTTGAGAAGCCTGAAATGGCCGTCCTCATGACGCAATGACGATGCCAAACGCGTCTTTTATTCGTGTATGGGGATCTTAAACTTGGTCTTGAGTATGTGCAGCGCGTAGATAGCCTTGCCGTGGGACGGCGCCAGCGTCAGAACCTTTATAAACTACAATGTCATTAAACCTCAAAGGCGCCTGTCGGTGGCATGGGCTACCTTGGTCACTGCCGCGCGCAGCTCGCCCATGTGCCAGTCGGCGAGCCCATGGTTGTACAAGGCCGGTACGCATGTCGGTGCGATCGCGATGGCCGACGAGAGGATGTGCTGGGCGTCGGCAAACTTGCCTTGACTCAAGCACGCGCTCGCGAGGTTGACGCGAATGGTCACAAACGCGACACCTATCGAGCGCAAAATGACGCCTACAGATATGTCGATGACAGTGTACTCGTCGGTACGTCGAGGGCAAGTGCATAGCTCTCTTCCGCAAGCTCCCACTCGCCCGCTTCTTGGTGAGCGAGGCCCTTGCAGTAGTGGACTTGGATCGTGCGAAGGCGCGCAGTTTCTGACTCGCGCGCTTCGTACGCAGCGCTCAGCGCGGCGCTGTTTTCGACTTCGCGGGGCTGGGTGTGCGTCGCCGTCTGCACCTGAGCGGGTGTGAGTACGTTGCGCCGAAAGTACCGCTGCAGCGTCATGGCAGCGTGGTGCTCCTGCAATGACGTGGGGTTGTGCTTGGGCGGCGAGACCGCATCCTTTCGAACGTCGCTGGGTGGTGCGACCACGGACGACGGTGGCGACAATACGAACTCTGTGGGGTTTCGCAGAGACCGAGGCCGCTTGGCCTTGGCGTCCGGCGGCACGTGCATGCGCGCGGCGAGTGCAATCGGCTCGACAAAGAGCGGCAGCGCTTTGTACGCCCCGAGTGTCGGCGTCGACTTTGTATGCGGCTCTGCAAACTGCCGCTTGTACCCGACGGCCGTGCGTGGGTGGCACTCGTCGGGTGCCCACTGGCGCACGGCGACGAGCGGCACGGTGGTGGCCCGCGGCACGTCGACCACCGGTGTCTCTGGTCGGTCGCTCAGCGCGCAGTCAGAGCTCAAGTGCGGCATTTTGGGCGTTGAGAGCACGCGTCGCAGCGGTGAGTTGGACGTCGTTGGCGTTCGGCTTTGCTCGGCGAGGCGGATGGACTTGTTGCTTAGCGCCGGTGCGTACAAGGGAGGCGGCTCGTCAAGGTCGAACGCTTCATGGTGGTGTTTGCTGCACGTTGTCTCGGACGGTAGCCACAGTGGTGGGCGATAAGTGGTGCTAATCGTCGGCGGTGGATTTCGAGGCAGTGTCGTTGGAATGACGTCGGCCGCGACCGGTCGGTGGTCGTTGAAGTAGACAATCTGGTGGTTCTGCTCCGTATTGTGGTGTCTACATATACATCCGTGACTTCGATTCGGCAGCAGCTTCATGCGTACTTCAAGCTCGCTTGCACGACCGACATGTGCAGCAGAAAGTGCTCCTCCTTTGGGTGCAGCGCCATCGTCTTGGCAATCAGCGCCATTGGACACTCCTACATTGGAACTGACGACATGTATGTAGTGTTGTCGTTGTACCTTGAGGAGCAGCTCGACGTAGTCGTCCGAGAATTTGCAAAAGAGACTCAGCGCTTGGGCGATTTCCGTCTAAAGCTCAACTCGAATGCCCATGACGGTGTGCCACGACGTACTTGAAGCGGTGCGTTGAAGCGAAACTCTCGCATCGCAAGCAGCAGGAGCGCAAGGCCACCCAGAGACGCGAACGCTTGGTACGTTGCTGCATCGTCGTGCCTGAGACGCCGAAGGAGCTGGGCAATGCCCTTCATCTGCGCATCAAGGCAATAGCGCTGCTTGGTGAGCAGCTCGACAATCGCTGTGCACACGACGTGATGATTTCCAAAGTGCAATGTGGAGTAGTACCTGGCACGTCGGCGCCCATGTCACCTTCGGGGTCGGTCATGGGCATGGCCAAATAGGCTGGCGACGCTGTCCGCGAGAGACCTCGCGTGAGCTTCACGGGCGAGTTGCGTCGGAGGAGTGCGTTCGGGACCTTGGCAGGCGTCGTGTCCTTGGTTTTGGCGGCGGACTCGAGGATGCCGAGGAGAAACCCCGTGACTGTCGACGCCTCGCGCGTCACGAGGTCGCCGCTGGCACTCGAGAGATCCGATTTTTTGGGGCTGCGCTTGGAACTGAGGCCCAAGAGCCCGCGCGACGACATCGAGTGCGTCAGCGGCATCGCGCCGGCACGAGACGGCGTCTTAAAATAGGCCGTCGACAGACAGTTTGTGCACACACATTGCACAGCTTATGCTATCGATCATACTGCTCTGTATCAGCTTCCAAAGCCCCCGACCTCGCCCCGCACTGTCCATCGTCTGTGGGGTACCCTCTTTGCTGTCCAAGAGCGCAACCAAAGACGGCACCTCGTATGCGACCACATATACGAAGAAGACGCTATTAACATAGAGAGGAACCATCACCGGCGTGCTATCTTCCCTCCGCTCGCGGCTCGTTGTCATGCGCGCAAACGTGGCGCGGCTTGGTGCTCATGGTGCACGATGGCGATTTTGTATTTTCCGGATTGATCCGGATACCGGTACATATATGGGAGGACCCGGGAGGGGGCCTTTGTATTTGTGCTGGAGGGGGTCGAAATTCGAACGCGGGGCGATGCTGAATCGCCGCCAGAGCCTGCGCCCGCGGGCGCTGGACATCCACTCGCGGATTCGGATCATCCGGTCGGATGAAGACATCGTCATGGAGGAAGACGATGGCGCTGCGGGGCCGCAGATCACGTCCTTCCAGGAGCTCGCCGAGGTACGAGCTACGATGAGGACGATGGAGGTCCGACCATAGGTAGATGATTGACGACCAGCCGGCCAAGCCGAAGCGCAAGAAGCACATTCCGATCCCGATGAACGCGACGGTCCCCAACTACGAGAAGGAGGTGGCCCCGGACTTTGTGCTTCCGACGAGCTACATCAAGATGAGCCTCAACTTCCAGACGCCGGGCGAGACGTCGTCGTCGTCGTCGACCTCGACGAACGCGGCCACGACCAAGACCGAGGTCGACTTGGAGGTCGAGGACATGGAGTGGCTCAAGACACACCCGCGCTATGGTGAGCTCGGCGACCCGCGCTACCAGCTCTCGTACGAGCAGTTTGCCAAGATGCTTGACGTGCTCGAGAAGGCGACCGCGCTCATCAACCCTGGTGTCGTTACGCTGGCTGAAGCCGACGAAGTTTTCTTCAAGCAGCTGCAGATCAAGACGACGCCGCTCAACCGCGTCGCCACTGACGTATACAACTACTGGGTGAGCAAGCGCTCGGCGCTCAAGCGGCCGCTCTTGCGCAAGTACTGGCCGCAAACGCCGCTCAACGACACCAACCCGCACCTCGTGTTTCGACCGCGCGAGAAGGAGCGCTACAAGCTGCGGAAGCACCGGAAGAACGACATGGAGGGGCTCCGGAAGCTCCAGCAGCTGCGCCATGATTTTGACCGGACCCGCCACCTCTTTGAGATGGTCAAGCGCCGAGAGAAGCTCAAGCGCATGCTGATCGACTTTCTCGACGAGACGCGCCGGCAGTCGATCCACGACATGATTGCCGCGGTCGTTCCGAGCATGGGGCCGCGCCACCCTAAGGTGTGTTTGGATCTCATCTTGGCGCTCTCTCATGCTCGCGCTGTAGATTCCAACCGAAGAAGACCGCGAAAACAAGCACAAGAAGAAGAAAAAGAAGAAGGACAAAAAGCACCGACGCGACTCGATCGATGGCGAGAGCACAAGTCTGCACGGGAGTCCCGGGTCGCACGTCCTCAAGTCGGCGACGGCCTTGGAGGTCCAGCGCCTGCCCGTCCCTACATTTATGGACCCACGCCCGATGGACATGGTGGCCGAGGCGCCGCAAGAAACGGACGTCGCCACCGTCATCTCGTTCCCGTCGTACCCACCGTCGACCGCGCAGTTGTACGCGACGATGTTTCAGGATCCGCCCCAGTACCGAAGGTACGATCCATATTTGACCAAATTCGACTCACCTCTATGTGTGTAGCCGGTCGCGCTATGGCCGTGGCGGGCGACTCATTATGGACCGCGTGCCGATCTACAAGTCGTACGTCGAATTCGAAGCGCCGCCGCTCGTATCCGCTCCGCCCGCACCAAGTGGCCTGGCCGTGGCCGGTGTGCCAACGCCGACTGCGTCGATACTGGCGACCCTCGGTGCCTCTCGCCAGCAGCGCATGGAAGCGATCTACAGCATGAGCGACTCGGAGGACGAGCTCGTGACGATGGACACGGTCGAAGAAGACAAGGTCCGCACGCTCAAGTACACGCTGGCCATGTAACCTGCACACAGTGTCTTCAAAATGGCGAGTCTTTATTCTATTTCGAGCGCAAAGGCCCATTTAGCAAGGCGACAATGGCGCTGTACCGCAGCTTGGAGACGGACGTCACAGCCTTCTTCATTGCGCAGGGCACGCTCTTTGAGACCGTTGTCAACAGCCTCGGGGCGCGCGTCCACACCGTGGAGCAGCGCGAGAGCCCTTTGCCTCTCGTTGGCGATGCAAGCGTGGAAGCACGCCTCGCGCGTCTCGAAGATCTGTGGAGCGCACTGGTACGCTCACTGCTGCTGCGTTTTTGCAGCATTTAGAGCAAGCGTGCTAGACACAAGAGGTGCATGGACTGCGTACCCAATGCCAAGCCGCCACCGTACGCCTTCTTGCATACATCAGCGTGTATATACAAGTCAACTCGATAGGGAGCGATGACCGCGCTCGTACTTGGTTGCATTCTACGTCTTCACTGAGAAAATGTGGTAGAACCACCAAGTCGACGCCCAGACTGCGAATCTGGCCGCCCATGCTACCCGGCTTGATGCACAAAGCGTGGCGCTTGAGACGCAAGAAGCAGCGCTTGTGGCCCAGGCTGCCGCACAAGCCGCCTTTCACGACCGTTGCCCGCAGCAGATTCTCGCCAGCGCGGTGCAAAAGGTCACGCTCGGCTTGTCGACAGAGGAGTTCACTGCGCTGTCGCAAGAGCTCCGTCGACTGGAAGACGCTTTGGAGCACGCGACAGAACCCACGGACGAGATTCGCGCGTCGCTGAGTCAAGTGCACGCGGACCTCGCCAGCGTCGCACCCGACCCGACAGCAACGTACGACGGATTGGCGCACGGCCCGATGGTCGAGCGGCTGCGCACGAGCCTCGCGAATCTGGGCGCCAACTTGGACACACTCGCAGCGGTCTCGGAACACAATGCGTGGACGCAAGGAATGACATTTGAGGTGGTGTAGAATAAAGCAATGGCCTTGGACGATGACGACGACGGGGATACGTGGCAGTCGGTACTGTCGCGGTC